GATTTAAGATTCTTTGGAAGAAAATTAAAGAGAGCATAGCTTAATTTTTTATGGTCACGTCATAGAATTTAGAATATGAAATTGACACGCAATCTGTATTATCGAGAGAGTGAACATGTTAACGGTGTTGGTTCATCTCCATTTTTTCTCACTAATTTTTACGTAATATTGTTTTTATTTTTCTTTGTTATCACTTATCACAGCAAAATCCTATAACTAATAAGTTGCCAATTTAAGTCTCTCAATTTTTTTTTATTGGGTATTTTAAGTCACTCAGATTATTGTTAATGGTGTTTTACAATACGGTGTTTAATAAGTCAAATGGCTCTTTCACGACACCTTGAAAAACAATTAAAATTGGCTGAAAACAATTCAGCAATATTTAGAGTTTTTTTTGTTTCTTTTCAAAACTAAACTTTTAGGGATATACATGTTAGGCATAGGAAATGTAATCAAAATTATATGCTTTCATTCTCTTGTTTGTTGGTAAAAGGTTTTGTCGAATATAAGACATTATCAAATCCATATTAAAAGATATATTCTCACGGAGTTCTTTGAAAAAGCATAGAAGTATGTTTAAGCAAATTAAGCATAGAAGTCAATACTTTACCACTATAATTAATTAGCCCCTTATATGACCAGCTCTTCGAAAACATCTACTAGTTTCTGTAAACTAGGTGAAAGTTAAGTGATGAGACATAGAAGAAGTATGCTTAAGCAAATTACGTAGTTTTTTTGTAAATTCATTTTTTCTCAAGAAAACTACGAACCATTACTTAGAAAAATAAAATCAAAGTTTTTCGTAAATTTACAATGGTCGATATGCATAAATGAGATATTTGATCAATTTTGTTTCCAGTATCATTATAAATTTAAAACTTCACGCCCCTTTTTGAGCCTACTGATCACATTGGTTCTCTCCGGTTTGGTGTTCAATGTATAGATTATATAACAAATAAAAATAAAAATTATATTATACAAATGCTTTCCATAATTGACTTCCGTGTCAACTAAATCAGATCGAAGGAATCTTTACAATTACGGCCAATGATTCTATGTGCCACCTCCAACCTTTTTTTTTTTTTGTGGGTTTTAGTTTATTGGTGAGGTTTACTCTTATCAATGGCAAAATAAGAAATGTTTTTTCCGAAAAGCGAACCTTCGAAAAACCGAATTATGTATGATAAATGCAAGTCCACTACCGTTAGCTATCTAATTCAAATGTTATTAAAAAAAAAAAACATCATTTGTAAATCAAAGAAACTAAATTTTGCCCCGCACCAAGTGCTGGATTAGAAATTTCAATTGTTTCGAATCATAGAAATTCAAAAAAATTAGATAAATAGTTATTATATTTGACTTATGTAGTTTCAAACTAATGTAAATAAGTTTGGTACTACGATTTGTGTCTAATGCTAAAAAACTCAATAGTATACATCTTATTTAAATAAATTTACATGTATTTCAACAAAAAATAGGAATAAATAATCGACATGCATTTTAAATTTAGTGAATGTCGATTGATTGAGTCGATTTACAATAACGGAACCAATATTTTAAATTTACGGTGTCATTGATTCAAGCTGTATCTTATTTTCTTTGTGACGATTGAAAAAGTTTTCTTTGTTAAGTTTTGTATTTTTTTCACATGTCACGCTATTTTGTAATAGCTTTTTGAGATGTTTTTCAATTCATTTTTTTTATTGACACATGAACTATTTTTTGTGAATGTCTTTTCAATTA